TGGGTTTAGAGGACTCCTCCAAGAATACCTTCCCCCTTTGTGTGCCTGGAGTAACCTCTGAAATACCAATTTTAAAAAGGAGGCCATGTCTAAAAGGAACAGGAAGAATTAACCTGCCTCATGCCAGGGCATTTGTCCGATCATCTCAATAGCTCAATTCAATTTGGTCCTTCTTTGCCCAGCCACACTTTTTTCAACCATGTGAAATTTTTTTAGACTTTTGCTTTGTGCACAATGTGATCGGACCAGGCCAACCACACTTGCAAGGGAAGGTAGGACCAAAAGAGTGAGATCACAAGAATGGATGAGCTTGTTCACTCGAGGACTGGTTATAACACTCCAAAACATACCTTAAAATTTATTGAATTAAATATTCAATTAAACAAAATTGTTTTGATTAAAATAAATTATTATTGGGATTTGGGCTAAAATGAAATATGTTTTAATATCCAATATCACAATCTGGATAAATCTCATAGAGGTAAATTCAATATGTTGACTATTTGTGCGACCTTGATTGGGAACCAGAGTAGAGACCCAAATTAAAAATTTATTTATGATATGAACTTTGAAGTGATTTATTGAAATAAATCATGGAAATAAATGGTATGAGTTAAATGTGAAGAACATTTTTTGAATAAAGGTTAATTAATCCAAGTTTGACTAAGTCAAAGTCAAACACCCAATAATATGATGTTGGAAAAAGTATTAGAAATAAATATGAAAATTATATCGTTGAATAGAAATTAATTGTCCGATCGCAACGGTGCAAACAGAATTCAATTCGGAGAAAGTTGGACCAAAAAGTGTACCCGACTGGAACTAAATTAGTCCTAATCAGCGAACGACGTGTAAAATCCTACGAATCCGCCGTCCTGCGCACTACACCGATCGTGAGTAATCAATGGCTCAATTCATTGGCTTCTTCTCTTTTCTTCTCTTCTCATATATAAAGAATTCATTTCTTCCCATTTCTCCACCATTTTGTCTCAAATTTGTTCTGAGAGTTAGTCTTGAGTGTGGAGAACGCAATTGTGCTGTCAATTTGTTGTGAAGTCACCGGAGCAAGCCATGTGTTCGTCGAAAGTCTCCCCGGAAAATTTCCAAAATCTTCATTAAGTTTTGAGGTAAGCCCGTAGATATATCTAGTGACTAGAATGTTCGTATAGATCGTTTCTACATTCATAAACGGTCGTTTGGTTGAGTTTTCTGTTTGAGATGCTTGAAGAACCAAGAATCATAAACCTTGAATTCGATGTTAAAAATATGAATTAATGATACCAACATGATCTATGAACGTTGGGGAATATTTCTATATAATGGTCCTGAGGAAGAAGACGATGTACAATAGACATTAATCAATTAACTCATGCTGATTTATCAATTAATAGATTAATTTATGTTGATTAGTAGATTAATTCATGTTGATTAATAGATTAGTTCATGTTGATTAATAGATTAATTGATTGTTTCGCTGAAGTGTTTGAAATCAGTAGCAATTAATCAATTTTCCATCTTCTATTAATCAATTAGACCTTTGTTCCGCTGAAGCATTTGGAGTCAGAAGGGATTAATCGATTTTTCCTGCCTAAAATTAATTGATTATTATGTGTATGAACCAAAGAAACTTTTCAGAAAACTTATTTTTGAAATATTAAATCATATTCTTTTTATCAAACAAATACGATCAATATGGAAATGATTTCAGAAAATAAATATGATGTTTTGACTTACCCAATAACCTTATGTGATGCATGATAGTAAGCTAGAGTGTTAACACTCGATGCTAGGCCGCTAATTGTTAATGAATATTATGGTTATGATTTTAGATGATTATGATGAATTGATGAACAAATATTGATGAACATACTGATTAAAATGATTATTGTGAATGATTGAACCATGATTTAAAATGAATACATTAATGATTATGAAATGATTTGTATTGTAAATGATATCTAAAAGAACTCTAAAATATACCATTTGGAAATTAATGATGACTATTAGGGATATCTAGAAGAACTCTAAGATATACCTACATGACCAATTCAGAAATTTGGGGTTAAAACGTACGTACAAGATTCAAACCGGATATCACCCACCCGACAGTTCACTATTCGGTTGGTACGTAATCCACAAGACTCATAGGGTGGATTATCGGTTGTGTTCTGCCTTACAATATTTATATTTAAGAGCCTGGTTATAAATATTGCCTTAGACTAGGAATAACTAAGAGTTTGTTTTAAAAATGATTTGACCTTAGATTAATAATAATTTAAGAGCACTATTGAGATGTTGAATATTGTGTATTGTATATATCATGAAATGATTGGATTGAAATATTATGCATGTCATGAATGATGAATACTTGAATTGTATATTCTGTGCATGATATCAAATTGTTGATTATGAATTGCGATTCAATTTATATGGATGTTTGACGCATTAGATATGCTTATTCAGCTTTACCGCTGAGCATGTAGTATGTTTTATTTGCTACACACATGTAAACAAAAAGAATGAAGTGACGAGTTCCTAGAGACAGATGGGGCGAGACGTTCGTGATGGATGTGTGGATTTAAATAATTAATTGTGATTGTCATGAGACATGTTTTAAATTCATTTCCGCATTATTAAACACTCCGTATTTCTACAGTTATGTAATGAATATTATTTATGATAAATAAAGATGTTTGAAAAGTTTTAAATTTTTACGATTACCATGTTAATACTTTAGTCCGAAAGGGGTTGCAGACCTAGACGGATTAAGGTGTTACACTGGTGCTCTTATTTACCTGAGTGAAAGAAGCAACGATTCACTGGACCAACTTAGAAGGGTAGCCCAGGCTGATAAAGTTTGTCATCCTTGCCAAGCATCAAAATTCACCCCGTGCTACAGAAAGAAAGAAACGATTGCCCATTCAACATGTTGTACGCAGCTCGCTCAATGCTGAAGCAAGTTAGCACTTGAAGTATTTCCCTAAGTTGTGAAAATGAAGGAGGTGACTACCCGGGCAATTTTGAGCATGAGTTTATTTTACACCTAAACCTTGACCCAGGTTAACCCAAGAGGAAGGAAATGACCAATCAAACTAGCTTGGAAATTACTTGTGCTTAATGACCTAGGCAGGACATGAGTCAAAGTACGGCTTGAAACTTGATTAGTTAAAGTCAACGTGTAGCCCATTAACCCAGGGAGTTACCCGGGGAATCTCATGCTTAAAGAGATATTCGAAAAATCTGGGTCTAGCAGGGTTTTTTGCAGTGACGACTAAGAGCAATAACGCCCCTGACATTATGCGACACAAGGGAGAGATTCTCTCTAAAAAGTGTATTGTGCAATACAATCTTTGTGATACTCACATTTTTTAATAATAATCGAACTACACGTGTTCACAACTACAATCATCCTGGTCAAACTCTAGTTCGAGCTTGTTTCCAGTATCAAAACTCAACAAATCGCACTAGACCTGGTCTATAGCAGTTTGTTCATGTGGTTAATTTACACCAACATATACTAAACTATTATAAATATAATATTTTTTTTGTATTTATTCATTAAACAAGAAGTTTATTTAAAATAAGTTTTTTCGATGAATTAAAAATATTAACAAGCATTTAGGTAAATATATATTTATATTGATTTGTATACCATAGTTTTTTGTAGGGGTGTTCATTGGGTCAAACCCGGACCGAGACCGGATCTGGACCGAATAAGAGAGAATTTATGGACCGAGGACCGGGCCCATTAAGGTAAAGACCGTCCCGGGACCAGATCGGTAAAACCCGGACCGGACCAGGACCAGACCGAATGAATGTACTTTTATTTAAATTTGATTTTATTTATTTAATATAAAGTATTCAATGTATAAAAATATTACTACAATTAATTTTAATGTGTAAGATACACTAAACATTTTCAAACATTGATGTTTTTAATTTTTTTAAAAACTTCAAATAAAATACGGAGTATATATCTTGGAATGTTCTTCAACTTACATAAAATTTGTTTGTAATTTTTATTTTACATATGGAATGTTCTTCTTCTTATTGTGTTTTTACTTTTTTGTAATATTTTTCTATGTTTTTGGTTTATCTTGACAAACGGATACATTTTTTTATGTTTTGTTCATGAGATTGTTTACAATAATTTTTTTGTTGATTAGAGTTTTATTACTGATAAAGTACAAACTTAAGTTATATATTGGTACATAATTTGAAATGCATTAGATCGCTAATATAAAAATAATGTTTATTTTTTCACACTTTTCATGTTAAAAATATTTAAATATCATTAGAATTGGATCTTATTTTTAATTGGAATATATTAAAAAAATTATATTAAATAATAAAATCGAAACATTTGAAAAACTTTTAGTTTTAATGTTAAATTAATTTTAAGTATAAGAAAAAAACTTTAAAAAACTATATTAGAAAACTATATAGAAACAAATATTTAAAAAAAAAATGAAACCGATCCACTGGTTCGGACCGAAACCCGGTGGACTGGACCAAAACCCGAATAAGGAAAATGTGAGGACCGAAGACCGGAACGAATAAGGACCGGTCCGGTCCGATTTTGGCCGGGTTTCAGGTCGGTCCGGGTCTGGACCGAACTTAATTATTGCCATAGCTTCTAATGTTTGTGTTTTTTATTTAAATTGATTTTTTAGAAATAAAGGATTTTGTTATATCTTAAATTATACTCCCTCCGTCCCCCATAGATCTTCCCAATAGCCCTTTTTCTTTGTACACAATAGATCTTCTCATTTCATTTTTTAACAATTAAAATACCACAACTATCTCCACTTACTTTATTTATTACACCTCACACACCTCATTTAATACACTTCATCCATTTTTTAATTAATGGTATTATGGTAAACTTTCACCTTTTTTCAACTCTCCTAAAAATAAACAAAAATCAAAATGAACATCTTAGGGGGACGGAAGGAGTAAATTAGTTACATATATATTTATATTGATATTGATTTCTATCGAAATGAACAATCCCGAACAACAAAGCAAGATTATTTTCCGTCCTTTGAAGGCCCAATACTTGACGACGCGAGATCCGGTCCAAATAATAAAACAGAGAAAGCGGCTCTCAATAATAGGGTTTTCTTCCTCTCTCTCTCTCCAAAACTAAACATCCAAGGCGATTGATTCTGTCGTGTGGCGGGGCGATCAGCAAACGCAGGGGCGGAAGAACGGCGGAGATGACTTCCAAGATTATGCTGAAGCCAAAGGGGAAGGCCGCCAAGAAGATCGCAGTGACATCGGAGGACGAAGACGGAGGAGCGGTGGCGGCGGTGTCCAAATTCGTGAAGGTGTGGGGCACGTGGACTGCGAAGAAGGCCAAAGTCGTAGCCCATTACGGCTTCATCCCCTTAATCATCATCATCGGCATGAACTCCGAGCCCAAACCCTCTCTCTCTCAGCTCCTTTCTCCCGTCTGAACAATCCATCCGCAGTAATGAAGTACTATGCCCTGATCTTCTTCACTTTCCATTAGTCGATTTCACAGTTTCTATTAGCCATATGTTGAGAGCTGATACTTTTATCTCGTCCTTTTTTTTGATGTGGTTCAGTGAGATGCCAACTTCTTAAAAACCTGTTTATACTTCCTGCTTTTAAGAACACCATATCTACTCAATAATTAGAATTGTTTTTTGTTCGGATCATTGTTGTGTTCATACTTTCTTGCTTTCAAGTTATTGTATATCAATGGCAATTCTCTAGCTTGCATATGAAGTTTATTTATCGCAGGTAATCAACAATTGCGGGTGCTTTCGAAGATATCTGTTATCCTTTTGTGTGTTAATGTAAGAAAGCATCCATATTGCCTTTTCCTCCAGTTGACCCATCTAAACTGATATGCATTGATTATAATGTGTCATAGCCTGCACATAGTGTTCTTTCCAAGTGACATATGCAAGCTGGGTATTTGGGGTTGCCTTTCTTCTCCCAAACTGAATTCTCTTCACATTTCTCATCCTAAAGCTCTCTTCTCAAATCTCAGCATCCATCGGTTCATTGTGCTCTTCCTTTGAATTTTTCCGTTTCCCAGTTCTTGAAAAAAAGAGGGGAACCGACAATCCACTGCGACAATCCAAATCCCCAAATCTCCAGGTGAAGAAACCAGACAATGAAGGGATAGTTAAGAAAGCTATTGCCATTATGTTTGCTTAACCAATGCCCCAAAATTAATATGGAGGAAATAGAAGGGATTCCAACATAATGGGTAAGTTTATCTTTTAATATTTGTCAAACATTCAAGGAAAAAGTGGTGAATTTAGTGTTTTGGTGGCGTGTAGCTATAACTTTTCTTGGAAATTTGGTGATGAGAATTCTACTCCCTGCGAGGTATCAATCTGTTCATGCATTCTTCAATGTGGAGGCACAGTTTTTCTTTATGGATTTCGTGAAACATTTGTGCTAGTTTAACCGACTAACCATCTTCAGTTTTATGAGCTTACTAGTATTTTGACCCGTGCGATGCACGGGGTTGAACGAAACTGCTGTCGATTTTGAAATTTTTCAATGAAATATTTATTCCAAAATTAAGTAAATATATTTCTGTCACAAATTTTAATCAATGGAAAACAATGACAAAGTAGAATATAATATTTGAGAAATTGAAAGTGTACTCGAAAAAATCTTTTTTAATTCCAAATTTTTTGAAAAACTTTAGTGTACACAATATTTTTTGTATCGTTGTAAGCGTTTTTATTTTCATCTAAAACCAATATTTTTAATCATGTCTTTTTCTTTACTCGTGAAACAGTAACATAAAGCTAGCCATGAGTGAATCCCGAATTGGTTAAAAATAATATAGCAAAGGACAATGTTTGACATTGACTTTTGTTTATAGTCATAGCAAAACAGAAGACTATTATATTGAGAATTCTATCAGATGATACCAAATTTTATTCAGGGTATGTAAACCTTTTTCTCCAACGCGATTTCTCGAAACATCAATTACATTGATAATGTTCTTTCACATCTCTTTAATGATTAATCTTTTACCATTACACAATCCATATATTTGGTCAATGTTCTTCAATAACATAATCGGTACCCCCTTTTAAAAACTATTTTATGGTTTGAATCCCCTANGTCATAGCAAAACATAAGACTATTATATTGAGAATTCTATCAGATGATACCAAATTTTATTCAGGGTATGTAAACCTTTTTCTCCAACGCGATTTCTCGAAACATCAATTACATTGATAATGTTCTTTCACATCTCTTTAATGATTAATCTTTTACCATTACACAATCCATATATTTGGTCAATGTTCTTCAATAACATAATCGGTACCCCCTTTTAAAAACTATTTTATTGTTTGAATCCCCTAACATTTGATTTCATTAAGAAGAATTGAACTGTTATCTAATCGTCTTCAACAACTACATCTAAATATGTTTGGCATGAAGAATGAGAACTTAAGTACTCTTTTTTACCTCTTAGAATAAGGGATATGACAAATTCATTTGCCATTTGACAAATTCGATTGTGGGTGCTAATAATGCACTATCCTCAAAAAAGAATAATTTTTCATGTTCTCTAATAAGTTTGGATAAGTAAAGTCCACTATACTCTTGAGGGGGTAACTTGTGTCAAGCATCAAGAATTCAAGCGGGATTTCAACGTCAGCAGTTTAGTCGATCACTTGTCCAAGTTTTCCATCTTTGACTTTGCTTATCAATACAGAAAAAGATTATGTGTCCCTATCAGTGCAAGAGTGTGTAGATAAATGCAATCTCATATTCTTAGCTAACCTATAAACTTTACATTACAATCACATTTGTGAGAATTGGTGTTAGCACCCACAATTTCCTCTCTCTACGCTATGAGTAGACCTGAAAGAATTTGGATAAAATCACCTCCGAGCATAGCTCTTTTCCCTCCGAATGGTTCATTTATGAAGTTATTATTAAAAAATCTCATTACATCTCTCATTTTTCCGAAAAAAATTAGTGGGTGACTCATGGTACTTGTCACTAATAATGTGACGAACAACTTTTTCAGCAGATTCCCACATCTTGACTTAACCTCTTTCATACATTCAATAAATTCTTTATCATCGGTTAATAACCTCAATGCTTCACATTATTCCTTGAATGCATTATGTAGAACATTGTTAACTGTCCTCAAGCGCTTATAATTTGTACATCCTTGTTGGACATTTAATACTTCTCAAGTAGTATAACTCTCTAGTTTCTGTAAGCACGTATTGTAGTATGCCTATTGACGGTCGTTGTTGCCTTTGAACTATTTCCACACTTTGTGGTTGTACATAAAATATTCTCGAAACTCTTTGCATACGTCAAATTTTATCCCGCATTATATTTTGTATTGAAAATCATCCAAGCTTCAAACATTGAGGCTTTATCAATAATTTCTTCGACAACATCTTTTAGTTTTTGTTGGTGTCTAAAGGTTACGAATTTTAGCCTTGGGTTATAAAAATTCAATCTCAGTACTGATCACTACCTTTGTTGTATATCAAAAGAGAGGATTATCCAAGAGGCTTCACATGCAGATACGTAATGACAATCAGAATACTTATTTGTTTCATAATACACCATAATATCAACAATGCCAAAGTTAGATTGGGTAACTGCAA